CACACACCCATCATCCAGCACTCACACACCCATCATCCAGCACTCACACACACATCATCCAGCACACACACACATCATCCAGCACTCACACACATCATCCAGCACTCACACACATCATCCAGCACACACACCCACATCATCCAGCACTCACGCACACATCATCCAGCACTCACACACACGTCATCCAGCGCGCGCACACACATCATCCAGCACACGCACAAACACCCATCATCCAGCACACACACACCATCCAGCACCACACAAACACCCATCAATCCAGCACTCCACACAAACACCCATCATCCAGCACACACACCCACATCATCCAGCACACACCCACATCATCCAGCACACACACCCACATCATCCAGCACACACACAATCATCCAGCACACACACAATCATCCACAGCACACACACACATCATCCAGCACCACACACACATCATCCAGCACTCACACACACATCATCCAGCACACACCCATCATCCAGCACTCACACAAACACCCATCATCCAGCACTCACACACACACATCATCCAGCACTTGCACACACATCATCCAGCACACACGCACACACATCATCCAGCACACACACACATCATCCAGCACTCACACACACGTCATCCAGCGCGCACACACACATCATCCAGCACACGCACACACTGCATTCATTATACACACTCTTCACTCACTACAAACACACTACATTCACTATACACCCTCTGCATTCACTATACACACTCTGCATTTATTATGTACATTCTGCACTCACTACACACTACATTCACTATACACACTCTGCATTCACTACAAACACACTACATACACTGCATTCATTGTACACACTCTGCACTCACTAAAAACACACTGCATTCATTATACACACTCTGCATTCACTACAAACACACTACATTCATTATACACACCCTGCACTGCACTATATACATAGGAGTATAATTTTTTTTTTTTTAAAGGGGGGGGGGAGGGGAATCTTGGGTGAGTTCCCACACTTTTTTCCCCAGGACTTGACAACTGAAATTACTAATAAAGAATTCACAATAAGAGACCAATTGACATGTTTCTCTAAAAATATTATTTATTTATTAATTTGTCCGTGCAATAAAATGTATATAGGGAGGACTAGTAGGTGCCTCCATGTTAGAGTTTCGGAACATGTGAGAAACATCAAAAAAGGAGTTGACACACACAGTGTCTCACAACATTTTAAACAATACCATCATCAAAATCCACAGGGTCTTATGTTTTGTGCACTTAAATTGGTTAAAAAAAATTGGAGGGGTGGAGATTTTACTAAGAAAATTGGGATAGAAGAAATGACTTTTATTTTCAATTTTAATACTATGGTCCCTCATGGACTAAATTTGGACTTTGAATTATGTCACTTCTTATAATAAATTTTCCCCTACCATTTTAGCTTTTTTTCCCTTGTAACATTAAAGAAAAAATATTTAATGGTTAATTATATATTTAATGATTTTTCCTCTACCCTTCCAGATTTTTATCCACTTTTATATCTATCATTGTTTATAATTACAGAAATATGATACTATTATTCACATCTTAGAAGTTATATTATATAGTTTACAATGTATCTGCTAATACTGATGATTATTATGTTATTTTTCTGTGCTGAAATTATTTTATTTATTTTCTTCCTTCCATTGGCACATTTGAGAATTAATGGACATTTTATTTAAAGACTTTTGCAATAAATAAAAGTGTTCCGGCAGTGGAACGCATACAGTGCGTTCCACGAAGAATGAGGAAGTACAGCAGCCGGATCCTACGTTTTAAGATGGTGGAACGCATATGTAAGCGTTCCACGAAGTTGAACAATTACATCATGTGATTTCCGTACGCACGTCTGTACGTGCGTTCCAATTAGCTCTGTGTGCGTTCCACAGAGCGATCTTCCGGTTCAGCAGATGCCGGTAATTTCATCATTAAGCACATATAAAAAGAACAAGAGCACGCAAGGACCATTATACCAACTGAGGAAGCCAGTTTATTGGCGAAACGCGTTTTCGAACCATTTTATGTACTTTTATCCAATATTTCTTTTATATTTGTTTTATCTGATCACTTTTTAATACAATAAATTTTGTTTACACTACCATTTGGAGTTTGCCATTCCATCCATTCCATCCATACCTGAATCTAAGGTGGAGGACATCAGGAGGCAATTAAAAGAGGGTGGTGGATCTCCCCTAGAAGATCCTGAGGCACTTACCACTAGAGCCAAGTGTGTCATTGGCTCTACTTTTGTGAGTTACCCATTTACCATTTATCTTTTATACATTTAAATTGAAACTACCGTCTGCACTAAGATTTTTTGTTACTTATTTACAGATTATTGTAAAAGTATTCTTGTCCATCTGTATTATACCACTGTTTATACAGGTAAACCAGAGCTCCACTTATACTTTGTTTTATTTGCATGTTTTGTGTTGTGAAGGTTAAGGGATTCCTTCACTTAAGTGTTAGAGCCTGCTTTTCACCTTGCTGGTTTTGTGTGCACCGTTTTATTTTATATACATAGTTACATATATGTACCCTATGTTTCCGTGCTCATTCCAAGACAATGTGCCCTAATAAACTGCATTCCAAACAGTATTTCACATCTGTAAATGTCATTCAGTTGTCTCAACTTTTAGCAACTCACCCTTCTCCACAGTTCACTGACTTCTTGGTTTCAGGGTTTTCTGAGGGCTTCCACATGGGTATCATAGCGTTACCTACCGGTATCACGGAAAGTAAAAACCTACAGTCAGCTGTCAACAACCCAGGTTCAGTTGACTCACTGTTAATGCAGGAACTGAATCAAGGGTTCATCATAGGCCCCTTTTCCACACCCCCCTTTCCTAATTGGCGTACAAACCCAATAGGCATTGTAACTGGGAAACACTTTAAAAAGAGACTGATTATTGATCTTTCAGCACCTCACTCTTCCACCATTCCCAGTTTGAATCATATCGGCAGGTGTGGGGGCATGGTTGAGCAAAACAGATTTTGTAAATGCCTTTAAGCTGCTTCCAATCCACCCTTCTTTATGGCATCTACATGGTATTAAGCGGAGAAACCAGTATTAATTTTTCAACAGGCTAACATTTGGGTCAAAAAGTAGCCTGAAAATATTTGACCCCTTTGCAGAGGCGTTATGTTGGTTGCTCTTAAACTCATGTAGATGTCCATCAGTACTGCACTATTTGGATGATTTTGAGTAATCATAACCCACCACAAAGCCTTCATGATGCCAGACAGCTGGGAGGCTTGGAGTCCCAATATCCTCCTCAAAAACTGAAGGTCCCGACACTGAGTCAAGTTCAATGCCCAGTTACTGAGTTTGGGCATTGAACTTGACTCAGTAACTATGGAAGCCAGCTTACCACATGACAAAATTTAGCGTATCCTAGCAAGTATTAGTGATTACTTACGACTGGGCTACTGTAGTCGTAAGTAGTTACAGTCATTGCTGGGGTCGTTAAATGCTATGAGAATGATCCCACAGGGCAGGTGTTTCATTTCTAGGCTTCTATGTCTATTACCTTGCCTGCCCTCCAAGGTTTCTCTGGATTCTCAGGCCACAGCAGATTTACGCATATGGCAGAATTTCTTATATCAGTGGAATGGGAAGTCCATGTTCATAGCTCCACTGTTCCCCGATTCCCCAATGCGGCCTTCTGTGGTGACCAGTGGTTGTGGGGCAGTTGGCCGCCCGAGACCAGAACATTGGAGGCCTTTGATCGGACTTCACATTTACCCTATTGTGGCAGCGGCAGCAACATGGGGACACTCCTGGTCACGACACACGGTGCATTGTTTTTCAGACAATCAAGCAGCTTGTCATATCATCAGCAAAGGCCAGTCCTCCTCGCTAGTCATTATGAGTTTCGTTAGACGATTAACTTGGCTCGCGGCAACTCATCAGTTCTTTACATGATGCACACATGTGCCTGGTGTTCACAACACAGCAGCTGACCATTTGTCCCGCTTCCGTTTTCAGGAATTCCACCTATTACATGCCTCCACGTTAGCAACTCCGGCCCCACAGTTTCAAGAGCTCATCTTGGATTAGTCCAACTCCTAGCACACTGCAGAATGCTGTCGCAATGCTCTTTGTCCGAAACCAGCAAGCAGGCATACAAACGAGCTCTCGATATTTTTGTAATATTTACTAGGGACTTCCAGGTGGTAGATATGTTTGCAATGGAATCTTTGATTATTATGATATATGTTGTAATAAGTTGTTGTTGCTTGAATAAGTTATTTTTGGCATACATCTTTTGCCCACTTTATTTACAGGTCTACCAATACACAGGTTTCGGCACACCTCAAATTTTTTATATATACCTCTACTAGTATAAGGTATCAATACACATACGGCTTTATTGTCTTGAGCACAAATGTAAAGGCGGAGCCTGGAGTTGTGGGAGGGGCTAGTGCTGATATACATACTCACCATCGGCACTAGACTCCTCCTAAGCATCGTTCCGTTCTGAGTCCCTCCCACCACACCACCTTTTAAATTATTATTTTCTTTAATTACCTTTCTTGGTGGGCCTACTTTATTTACAGGTCTACCAATACATCGGTTTCGGCACACCTCAACCAAATTTGAAAAAGTATGATAAGGTATCAATACACATACGGCTTTATTGTCCTGAGCACAAATATAATACATATACACATACACACACACACATGTATATGTATTATATTTGTGCTCAGGACAATAAAGCCGTATGTGTATTGATACCTTATCATACCTTATACCTTATCATACCTTATCAAATTTAAAACTAGGTTTTAAAATATTTTGCAGTATACGCTATTAGTGACTAGGAAAAGTAATCCTGATCTGTTTTCTTACCTTTTCAGATATAGCAGAAACCAGGGGTGGACATTGGAACACAGATAGAATACCAGATGGAGACCAGTGTTTAAATGTTGACCTTTGATTAGCTATTGAATGTGTTTTATTTTGTGTCTATTTAACATGTCTATGCTATGAGTTTGTGCATACTATTCTCATAGTTACATAGCTACTAGGCATGTGCATGGGGACAATTTTTGGTTTGGTTCAGCATTCCGAAATTCAGGACTTCGGCAATTCGGTTTTGTTCGGCACATCTCTTGCAGCCGCTTAGTAGATAACTCCCTAATTCCCACGGTATTAGGGAGTTACCTACCAAAAGGCTGAAACACCTAAATTGGTCTTTCAGCCAAATTTACTAATACTTAGTAAAAATTAGTATTAGTAAATTTTTTCCCTACTCGCTATACCGCGAGTTAGGGCATGTCTATTTACCAGTGAGCAGTGACTCATAACAACACTCTGATTGGTGGATTGAAAGTAACCAATCAGAGAGTTATGAGTCAAATTACACAGCGTGGGTAAATTCCAAATAACTTTTACATGCTGTGTAAAATGACACGGAGCACTCTGATTGGTGGATTTCAAGCTAACCAGAGTGCTGTGACAGGTAAATGTAGAGACTTAAAGAAAGAAATAGAAAGGTGGGTGGGTGAACAATATCAAAAAACCAAGTGCAGGCAAGCCTCTGTAAGTAGGACACTCCAACTCCAATAATAAAAGACAAAATACTAGAAAGAACAGGGTGCCACAATCACTATGTTGGTATATAATAATGAGGGAATAAGAAAGAAATATAGAATATAAACTGAAATGAAAAAACAGCAAAAGTTTATTGATACAAAATATAATCACAGCACAACATATGTGCCCAAATATCTAAAAAGCCACAATAGGCAAGGAACCCTTAGGTATAGCAGCTTAACAATATATGATGCTGAACTGGGCAGTGGAATAAAGTGCAAGTGCTAAAGTGCAAATATGCTTATACAAGAAAGTGCACCAAGCCAATCACTTATGCACATACAATATAATGAGCCCAAAGTAAATACTGCATAAGCAGTGCATAAAATCAGCACAAAAACAGGATAAAACCCGCTGATACCAAAGTGCAGGGTCCCAGATAGTGCTCAACGCGTTTCGTTGTCCAACTTCCTCAGGAGATTCTTCTTTCTTTTCCATCTTCCCCCTTTTTAAAGGTTCGTCCGCCGGTCTCCGACATTGCGCATGCGCATGTGCATTGTCACGCACGCCGCCATATGTCATGGCACATGCGCGACCGTCACGCGCATGCGCAACCACGCTGGAATGCAGAAAAAAGCTTTATTGTTCCTCTACACGGCCGCAATATGAACGCTCTATAAACTAGAGCGCCCAGATCTGTGCAGACCGTGTTTACATAACCTGCCTACCCCACAGCTAACCCCTAACAGGGAAATGCTGTACATTCAGGGGAAATATAAATAGGACTAATGTAAAGAGAATAAAAATATAATAATAAATAAACAAATATAAATAGAGAATATAGTCCATTTATATTTCCATAATCAACAGAAATATGATACAGAAATATGATACATATATTCATAAATACATAATTGTGACCACACTATGTGTGCATGCCACTGATAGATACATATAAACATCTAAATGGGAACAGGCATATCTCAACTATAAATATAAATCCCTAAGAATGGTATACATATAAATATAAATGTAAATATAAAGGCATACAAATCATGAACGAATGAGTCTCGCGTGAAGAAGAAGCTCCTGAGGAAGTCGGACGACGAAACGCGTTGAGCACTATCTGGGATGAAATATATACACACAGAAATAGTTGTAATTACAACAAGTAAGTGGCAAATCCCATGTTATCATCATAAAACTTTACATTAAAATACATATAGATGTGTGCAAAAAACATACATAAAAATATACATAAAAATATGTATAAATATAAAAAAAACATAAAAAATGACCATAAAATCTTGAGCTAAAAGGAGGAACAGATAAAAATAATTAATGTTAAAACGCATCAATATAATCAATCCATAAAGACCAATATATCTAAATCCTTGTTAAGTCGTGAGGGAACAGAGGACTTCATCCTATATATCCACTCTGTTTCCCTCATGGCTAACATTTTTTCAGTATCTCCACCCCTCCAATGAGGTAAAATCATATCAATCCCAATACAAATAAAATCCTTAAAATCAAAATCTTTGCAAGCATTACAATGTCTAGGTACACTATGTTTCCCATTTTTATTTTTGATCCCATTAAAGTGTTCTATAGTGCCCTGAGGGTGCCCCCTCCCTCAGGGTCCCCCCCCCCGCCCGGCTCTGGAAAGGGGTAAAAACTTACCTTTTTCCAGCGCTGGGCGGAGAGCTCTCCTCCTCCGATCCTCCTTCTCTCCTCCCTGTCGGCTGGCTGCGCGCACATTCAGCCGGTCACATAGGAAAGCATTCATAATGCTTTTCCTATGTGTAATTTCCTAATCGTACGTCCTATATATTGGACCCCACATTTACACTGTAACAAGTATACCACAAACTTACTTTGGCAGTTAATAAAATGCTTTATCTTAAAAATGTCTTTCGTCACCGTACTCGAAAATTCCGTAGTCTTATTTCTCTGGAATTTTCATGTGCTGCACCTTCCACATTTAAAAAAACCTTTGGTCCTTTCTGATAAAAAATTAATCCTCTCGTTCTCAACCACTTTCTTGGGTAGGATACTAGGAGCTAAAATATTCCTCAAATTATTAGGTCTTATATATTACTTTAGGATTCTGAGGTAAAATCTTTTTTTAAAACTTGTCTTGCAACAAAATTGGCCAATTTCTCCTAATTTATTTCTCAATTAAATTGGCTTTGTTGCTAAATTTAGTGAAAAAGGCAAATTCTTAACCCCATTGGGGTTTCAATTCGCAACCCTCTAGGAATAATTCCCAACTTTAAATATTGTTGGAGATATTTAATCGCCCACCATTTTTTAACCTCCTTTTCTGCTAGTCTCTCCAATTTCTGGAAAGAAAAATTATTCACTTTATGACTTGTAGTAGACTCTGTAATGATATTGATGTTACAAAGTTTTGGAGTCCAGTAGCCAGATCAGCAATGTTTTCTGCCAGAGGTAGCCACTCGTTACCCAGGTGGTTGAGCCCCTGAGCCTTGAGTGGCCTTCTGGTCTTAAGCAGAGATAGGAGACTGGAACAGAAAGATGATAATCGTAGTGAGGCAAGCCGAGGTCAGTGGGAAGGAGAAGCAGCAAAGTCAAAACAGTCCAAATTCAGCAACAGGAAGGAGAAACAGGAACACGCTTGATTAGAGAGTACAGGAACCACAATAATCTGGCAAAGGTACAGAGACAGGAAGTGGCTTTTATAGGCCAAGAACCAGACACCTGACCAGACACAGCTGAAGAGAGTTGTCACTGATAATCTTGACTCTACAAGCAATGGTATCAGATCTTAGGAAAATTTGCAAAAGGCAGGCTGGTGTACTGGTAAGGAACAGGTTTAGCACCATGTAAACCAGGGTTCGAAACCCAGCAGAGTCAGTTCCTCACATTACCTCCACCTCTATAGGCGCAGCCTCTGGATGCCCTATTTCCTGGTTTAGCAGGGTACTGTGCATGGAAAGACTGAAGAAGATCAGGAGCGTGAATATTGTCCACTGGTTCCCACAATCTATCCTCCTCACCATAGCCTTTCCAATGAACCAAATATTGAAGCTTGTTGTGGAAGATCCTGGAGTCAAGAATTTTTTCCACCTTGTATTCATCTTCACCATCCACGAGGACTGGTGGTGGGGCAGGCAGGGCTCGACCAGGGAAAGTATTTTCATGAAAAGGTTTAAGCAGTGCCACGTGAAACACCGGATGTGTTTTCATGGAATCTGGAAGTTGCAGACGGAAGGTGACTGCATTGATCTGAGCGATGATCTCAAAAGGTGCCATGAACTTTTGACCCAATTTATGAGAAGGAATCCTAAGCTTAAGATTCTTTGTTGACAGCCAAACCTTGTCACCAACATGATAAACTGGGGCCTCCTTTCTGTGCCTATCAGCAGCCCTTTTGTAACATTCCTGAGCCTCCAAAAGAGTCTCCTTCAACAGTTCTTGGGAATCTCGTAAGGCGGTTAGCCGGTCAGTGACTGCAGGAATGGAAGTAGTAACTGGGAGACTCACTAGAAAGGTTGGATGGTAACCATAATTGGCAAAAAATGGGCTCAGAGAAGTGGAGCAGTGTTGGGCATTGTTATAGGATAACTCCCCCTGGGGTTGAAAATCCAGCCAGTCATCCTGCAGGTAACTAATATAGCACCGCAAATATTGTTCTAAAGTCTGGTTGGTTCGCTCAGTCTGTCCATTACTTTGTGGATGAAAAGCTGAAGACAGATTTAGATTAATACCTAGAATAGAACAAAAACATTTCCAAAAATGAGATGTAAACTGCACTCCCCTGTCAGAAATTACTTCATCAGGCACTCCATGCAAGCGAAATATTTCCTGAATAACTAGGTCAGCAGTCTGTTTAGCTGAAGGGAGACCACGAGCTGGTATGAAATGACTCAGTTAACCGGTCCACAACAACAAGAATGGTAGTGTGTTCCTTAGAGGGAGGTAGTTCCACAATAAAGTCCATGGATATAGATCCCCAGGGATGATGAGGAATCGGAAGAGGCTGAAGCAAGCCAACAGGGGATGAGCGAGGAGTCTTATGACTGGCACATACATCACAAGAGGACACATACTTCTTAACATCCTCATAATATTTAGGCCACCAAAAGGATCGGGTAAGTAGTTCTTGTGTCTTTCGGATTCCTGGATGACCTGCTGGTTTAGAGTCATGGTAGAGGCGTAAAACGTCCAGTC